ATGTAAACGGTCTGCAGAGTCAAAACCCTCAAAGTACACCCTGTAGCGAGTAAAGTTGGACATTTCTCTTTTTCCATTGTTTGCTTCCTGGGTTCTGTGACGTGTGAACACCCAAATCAACAAAAAATGACTAATCCGCGGAGCACCTCACAAACCAGGATCCCTTGGCTAACTAACAGGGAGTCCCTATTGACTTGCATAGAGCTCCCTGGTTGGTAATAGACGAGTTGGGATCGTGTATAAATGCTCTCCGCAGTCCCATTCTCACAGCGTTAAAAACCTTTTTCTTACTCAATATCAAGCCACACTTATTGTTCTGACTTCGGCTGTGAGTGTTTGTGTGTGCTCAGGATGAGTTTCCCGCTGTCTCGCCGACCCGGAAACCACACCAGTAAGCCAGCTCAGTGAGCAGCGAGCCTCGCAACGTCCCGACCAATCAGAGCACACTGGGCTCACAGGCAGGGGGGGCAGGAGCTCCAACAAGCCGTTTAGGACAGAGAGTGAATACATGTAAGTTAACAGAGATGCTGTATGAGAAACCAATGTGAGTTTGGAACATTGCACAGTATACATCTATTCTAATATACTTCAACAATGGAATTATGATCAGTAGAAATGGACATGAGATGGGACCTTTAAACAAATATATATTAGCAAGACACTGTTGAAAATGCAGCGACTTAAACACCTCCATAAATGAACGGAGTAGCTGCTGTTGCCTATAGGTTGGTTTATTTAAGCCAGCACACAATTCCTAAGTATTTGCATTATGATAGTAAATATGTAGGTAGTTATGGACGCTTGTATTTGTTTGTGTATATTTTGTGAAATATATGTTGTAACTGCAGGTTTTAAAAAGGGCATTATTATGATTATCATAATCCCTCTGGCTTTTACTCTCAGCATTGTACATGATTTCATTCAGTCACTTAACTCCTTTTCGCTCAAAGGGATGTTCATACAGTTGACTTCACTGTCTCTGTACGCAAACTGTTTATACTCCCTCTGAATGGAGGATATAACATCCATTCAGAGGGAGTATAAGTGGGTGATAAGCTACTAGGGCTGTAGTGAAGCTTCGAAGCTTCATTCATAACGCTGACATTCAAATGCCAAATCATCATTTGAGTTGCTGCGCAGATTTTTTTTCTGCCTGTCTATTTATTCTTTTAAACCTTGTTTTCAGCACAGCTGCAGATGAAGCTTAGGCTACATTCAGTACAACACATGTGGTGGGGGTGCCATGCAAGAATTGTTAATCGTTGTTAAGTCAAAGAGTTAAGATGTTTAAAAAACAACAAATGTAATGCGTTCAGAGTGTTTGCTCTCCTGCCTGCTGTTTACAGGGCAGCAGCAACACAGCACCATGAATTACATTTATATCACCACAGATATATTAAAGTATGCTTTTGTTCACAGTTCAAAATGTCGGTGTTAAAGTTCACCAAAGTTAGACTGAACCCAAAATATTTGCACATATTTATTTTGCCCTCGCAAGCAATTGTCCACTGATTGTAACGATGGATGAATTGATGTTGCCACTTTTAATGGTCCGAAAATCTAAAACGGACAACCTTGAGATTCCTGGATTATTCGCTCTCTGAGAAAACACCAATATGAACTTGATGGATCATCTTTATTATTACATGGCTTAGTTGAATAGTCGATTCAGAACACGTGACACGTTGTTAATCCAGAACAGACAGAACGCTGTCAAGGACTTATTGATTTAGGACGCTCACATCTGCACAAAGAAGTCCGTTCGATTGAACTGTAAACAGTTTGGCCGAACTTTCAAACTGGGACAAGAAAACAGCGGAGAAGTAACGGGGCAGAAACCCTCCTTTTAACGCAACCGTCCAGACATAGACATCAAACGGCAAAACATATTCAGTGTGCAGTTACTTTGGCATTAGGGCAGGGATATCTAGATACTTTCCAAGGTTTGACAAAATGAATTGTGCTACTTTTAAAGCAAGCAACGATGTTTTCAAATCTGTAATCAAAAAGCTCATTAAAAACGCTATCGAAGCACTTCCTGCTACGTAGTTCAAACAGTAACAACGGACTATTTTTCTTAGCGGATGCATTTAATTTAAAATCAATAATAGCCTACTACTTTTTAAATCAATAAAAACATTTTCTAAATCTATAAAAGCATTTCAATTAATATTGGGAGTCATATCGTTACTTTGTTGAGAATGTGGCCATGTGATAAGCGGGATAATGTGCAGCGACACGTCGGGATCCTGATCTGCCTGTCGCGCGTTCTTTTCCCCGTAATGACCGCCTCGCTGCACGTTATCCCTTACCTATATGAGCAGATGTAGGTTTGTAGAACGGGCACTCACCTCTGTGAAGCTGAAGAAGAGTCCGACACCCCCGAGGATCTTCAGAGCCTCGGTTGCATGATTCAGCATTTTATCCCCGCAGGTGAAACAGCTAGTGTTAATTTTGCAATCCTGGAAGCAAAGACACAGAAAAGAGGCCTTTAGTCTTCAGCTAGTGTTATCAGCCGAGGCAGCATTCTCTACCAAAATCTATTCTGAGAACTTCAGAAAGTTGACTGCTTTTGACTTACCCTGGGGGTATATTGTGTAACAGGATTTATACAGTGAGACTGCAGCAGTTATCTCTGATGCAGTAACATTTGTATTTAAAGAACCCCTTATATAATGTCTGAGATACAGAATGTTCATTTTGTTTCATTACACAGAAACCTAACTCCGGGGTTACACCGGTTCAGCCATTTGTCTTGATGAAGATGTGACCATGTTGACATGTTAGGGTGCATTCACACCTAATAGTCAGTTTCTCTGGTGCGCACCAGACCACAGTTTGTTACATTGTTTCATTTTTCAGAAGGTTCGATTTCCGTTCACACAGGCAAAATTCAAACGGACTATAAACTTTAAACACAAGTCATGTGCACGGAAATGCTGTTCAACCATTGGTCAGACATTAAGGGGGTAAAAACGTGAATCCCTGCAATTTCTACCGGAGCCTCCGCCATGGAGCATCGGCACTATCGGCAGGTTATTCTCATGCTGCTGTTAATCTGGAGATCAACAGAAACTAGCGGCCCGTGCATATGATTATATAATCAGACAACGTGCGTTAAAAAACATTATAATATAATGAGAGACGTTCTGCAGTCAGGAGGGGCGTTTCACCGACGACAGGTGTTCTTACTTTTATGTAGTTGACTGAGAATTTTTACTTTACACTACACTGTTCAACACTTCATTCTGCTTCACTCTTTAAAGGTGGGGTAGGTAAGTTTGAGAAACCGGCTCGACATACACTTTGTTATATTCCATGGAATGTTCTTAACATCCCGATAGCAATGAATATATTAAATGCGTTGACAATAAATACATAAAAAAATGTCATCTGTGGAAGCCGTAGTACTGTAAAAAGCACGACCAATCATCTGAGCCGGCCCGGCTAAAGTAACTGGATGGCCTACCTGCCTGTCAGCCTTCCATCTGTGCACAAACTTATCTCGTGCCCTCATTGGTCATGTGTGCGTTCGTGTGTGTTGGAGGAGGGGCTCTGTAAGGAAGTCTGAAGGAAGGGGCAGATTTTTTTCCCCTGTGTAGTTTTGAAATGATTGCGCACTCGAGCTGGTTTCTCCATTCTTACCTACCCTACCTTTAACTAAACAACCGCGGATGTCTTGAAAGACTCTTTCGCTAAAGAGTTTTGNGTGTGCCTTGGCAGTCTCAGTCCGCGTTCTTGTGACACGTAAATACTACGCTTCCTATGTTTTGGTGCGGACTGCGTTCACACCAGCAATGAACCGCTACAGAGTTCTTAAGCAAGCATTCCGTGGCCACCTATTTTAGCGGACCAGAGTCCGGTTGTTTAGTTCACTTAAGAGGTCGGACTGTGTTCACACCGACCCAAATGAACCGCACCAAGCGGCTACACGCACCAGGGTTCGATTCAACCGGACTATAAAAGGCTGGTGTGAATGCACTCTTAGACTCACAGCGGGGCAGTGCAGCAGGTCCTGTTCAAACTGAATGATGGTGGAGGTGGAGTTGAGCAGCCCGCAGCAGTTCAGTTGGCTCTCCAGGTCCGTCTTCGTCTTGTTTTCCAACATTCCCCAAGTGGAATTCAGAAGTGTCTCCTGCAAATAAGACAACAGTTGAATCCAGTTTCCTGCAGTCTCAAAACTATTGGTTGTAGTCTCAAAACAATGTATGTATGCAGACATAAAGAGAGTTATCTCACCTGCTGCCCACGGTTCATTGCCAAGCAGGAACAGGAAACTCCAAGTTGGAACAGGAAAACGATGAAAAGAATCACCATGTACTGAGGAGCAACGTTAAGGAAAGTGCGAGAACATGGAAAATGCAACTACATTTCCAAATCAGTGACATTTAACTGCATCTGACCCCGAATAAGGATACAAAGAAGAGCAGGACTTGGTGGTGGTGTATCGCTCCGATGAATCCAACGATAGCGATGAGCAGCAGGAACACGCCCACTGCGATGACCCCTCCTATGATGTGGATGCTCGACACCAAGCCGAACCCCTTCCCCCATGCTGCCACCCCGATCAGCAGCAGCCCCACCAGCTGAGGAGAGCAGGAGAGGAAGTTAACCAGAGTCAGCTGAGGCAGCGGGCATTTAGTGGGACTGAGCTCATCATGAAGTCACGTTAACCGCTACCACAAACAACAGTCATCTTTTAAATACAAGTTACTTATGTTTGTAGGTCTTTAAGAACCCTATGAGGATTCAAATACAAGTGCAAGCCTACTAAATAATGCTAAATAATGCAGATGAAGCACAGTCACAGAAAAAAGCTGACTCAAAGTTGAAACGCTGATAACTCTTCACACGCCTCTGGCTCATGAGACTGCTGGTATCTGGGGAATTTCCAATGATCTAACAACACTGAAATCGTTGTTACATTTTTATTTATTTAATTGATGAAGACTTTTCTTTTTGCCGCTGCTTTTAATAATTGAACTATTTACATCTTAAACTGCACTGTAAACTTGTATTTATGTATGTTGTCTTTTAATGTTTATTTTATTATCTTTGCTTTTTAATGACTGTTTTTAAATGCCATTTGCTTAATGTCTTTCATGTTTGTAAAGCACTTTGAATTGCCTTGTGTTGAAAGGTGCTGTATAAATAAAGTTGCCTTGATGACTATAAAAAAGAAATAGAACTTTACAATTCATTTTTGATTGATTGTTGTCTGATCACAAAAGGTTGAACTTTCTCATGAAGAGGCTTTTTGTCCTTCTTGCCTTTATACGTCTTCCTTCACTGCCGTCACTGCTCTGGTTCTACTCAGCAGCATCACTCTCGTGACATTGAGTGACTCATCTGCCAACAGGATTTCTGGCATGTGCACATGCTCCAAAGTTTTGTGACAGGGTGGGGGGTGTCTGAAGAGTTCCCTTCGGCAGCAGTGAGGCTAGCACTGTGTCACAACAGAAAGCAAACAACGCAATGCTACCTTTACCCCCACGGTGCATACCTGGCAGGCTTAGAAAGGGTTACGACAGCAGGTGAACGTGAGACACAATTAGGACGATTTTAACACTATCAAGAAGTTTTTTATAATCTCTAAAAATATTAGGAATGCATCTCATGATGATAAAGATATTGGAGTTGCCAAAACCTTTAATCATTATACTACAATATTAGGGCTTATTAATCTATTCTGACAGTTATATTCTCAACTACATGTACGTTATACTATATGTTCCTTTTGTTGGTTCAAAATACCAACAAATTATATATCTTTTTTAAATAAAAAGGCAAAGAAATGCCTAAAATCCTCCCTTTTAAGAAGTTAGATCTATTAATTATATTGTATACATAGGATTTAAACAATTGTATTTTGTTAAACTAATTTTGTACATTTGTTTGTTGGCACCTTAATAATAATCTAATTGTTTCATTGGTAGTCTCTTTCCAGCAGATACATTTCCCTCTGACATGTAACGTTCTTATCTGAATGGGCTAATCTATTCACCTCAATATACATAGGAATTGCAGATAAAAAAAGACAGGTCAGTTAAACATTAATGCTCTGTTGCCCACTGACACACGTTGACCAACAATACTTAACAAATGGCAGTGTGAACAATTCAGTAACGTAACAGTGAGTGACACAGTGAGAGACTAAAACCAAATACACAGCTGTCAATGTGCCACAATGCAACAGCCCAGCAAAACAACATCGTTTTGGTTATGGAAATCATTTCTTATATCCTCACATCAGTGCCTTGAAAAAGCTGTCAAGCACACTGACATGGCAGAGAGGTGAAACATATAGCCTGGTTTCAAAATGTAGGAATTATCAGGTGCAAAAGAAACTATTTGCACAATGATGTTGTTATCTTGATCCATTATGTACAGGGGACCTCATTATTTAAAATGATCAAATCGAAGATTGTTTGTTAGCTGTAGGTCCCATATGTTATCAAAAAATACTTGTTTCTTAACAAAATGTTAAGGTTAAACCATTCTAAATCGTTATAGTGACATATTTTGATGATTATCTGGATATATTAATGTTCGTATCATCCCATGTCTTTGACAGCTGGTTATTTTTAAATTGACATTTTTAAGGCAATCAACCTAATTTCACCTCCTTTAAATATAAGGAAGAGCAGAGTAAAAAATAACATAATCCACACCATTAACCAAAGCCTAAATATCCATTGTTATTAAGTAAAGTCTCTCAGTTTAACCATCAGTTCAGGGTGAGTTAGCTGTGATGAAGTCAACATGTTGACTATCACAACTCACATGACTGACACACAAACAAACTCTGAACCGATACAATGTAGCTGTGACAGGCTCGGGTGGCTAATGAAAAGAGGCGATGTGGTGATAAACCATTCAAGAATCTCAATTTCACATTTAATTTGTTAAGGGGGTCAGCCGGCCTCCCAGCTAACGGTAGCTTCGTACACATAATGGCGATAGCTTACAGGCTAGCTAAAATAACTACATGTCTATCTACATAGCTACCGTACACTAGAAATTACTAACGTTTTAAAATATACACCGAAGAGAAAATACTTCATACCTTTAATTGGCTGCAAAATAAAAGCATAACATATGAAACAAAAGGCAAAATCAGTCATCTTTCTGTGTCGTAGCTAACGTTGCTAGCTAGTTGTCATTTATTCAGAAGCTAGTAAGGCTAAGCTAACGGTTCTAGCTCAAAGTTAGCATGATTATCCATTTTGAACACTCACCATGTACACCACATTCAGGGAACAAAGCGCATTTTTAGAACAGGTGAAGCCGCCACAGACCATATTCGAAAAACCTCTATGGGCTAATTAATAAATAACGATGAATATAATAAAATAAAAGGTCTCTCCGGAGCGCTAAACGTCTGGACTCAAATGTTTTTGGTCAGCGGAGAGGGCGTCGCTGATGACGTAAACACTGCATCTGACGTAAGGGGGTAAAAAACCATACGTCATCGTTTTAGGGCAAAAGACAAATCTGGAAAAATCTGTAATGATAAAGAAAATAATGTCTTAATATTTAAACTAAATGTTAAATTCTACCTATCCAATATTTCAGCCTGTTCTGAAGTGCTTTGGATTCCAATTCTATAATTTTGTATTTATGATCCAGCACATTTTAAGGGATCTTTGTTTTAGATGTAGCCTATATTTAAAAAAACATATGGGGGGTGGGGGGAAAGTGATTGAACACACATATGTTGGATTACATATAGACTTCAGTCACAAATTACCATGAATTTATCTTGAAGAAATGGCAACCTCAAACAAAAAAAAGTACAAAAAACAAGTGCAAATGCAAACTAGCTGTGAAAACTAGGCTATTGTCTTAACTTAAATTAGTTGAATATTTATTTTCAGTGTTTCATAGCATACATATAACCAAACACTGCGTTTGGAATCATCATGTGTTGAGATTTTTAATATGGAAAGTTAAGCTGTTATTAAAAACATGTAAAAAAACAAACAATAAAATAACATTAAAACATTTAAAAGGGTTTAAAGGACTGGAGATGGAGGTGTGTGTGTGTGTGTGTGTGTGTGTGTGTGTGTGTGTGTGTGTGTGTGTGTGTGTGTGTGTGTGTGTGTGTGTGTGTGTGTGTGTGTGTGTGTGTGAGCACGTTGCGTTTTATAAGAACTCTGTGGCGATGACAGGACACTTGTTACACAATGACAATGAGGCCTGCACATCAGGGGGACATCTGTTCTACAGCATGACCCACAAAAAAACAGGGAAATGTTGAGTTCTGTTTTATATTAAAGTAATGTAGGCCTATTTCCTCATAAATTTGATTTCTAACCAATTCCGCAAATAGCACGGTTCAGAAAGTTAATCTCTAATATCCTGTTGCTGTGGAGCATGGAGCTGCTCATATTGAATTACAAACCAGAACATAAACATTCGTATCTGACTCACTGCCAACTTAGTTTTCTCAACAACAAAAAAATGTGAATATGATTGCTAAAATGTGTGTGAATAGATAACATGATTGCAAACAAGCAACATGTAACTTTTGTTGAAATAGACTTGTGGTTTGAAAAGAGAAAAGTATTGTGTAATTTGAATATTCTCACAAGCTTAATCATCTTGTTTCACATGTTAAAAGGCTCTGCAGAATTATGACAGCACATCCTGATACCTAATGTGTGGCGTAATGTTAGGCCAACACATCCTTTAACAGGGGCTTCCATAGAAATACTCACTAAGCTTATAACTGTAAGCCTACATATAAGATCAGAATCAGAAATCCTTTATATGTCCAACAGCGGGGACATGTTACAACTGCAAAGGGACATCATTGAAAGGCAGCATTAAAAGTAGCCTACTATCAAGTTAGTACACAACCTCTGACATCAGTGAATATTTCACAGCTAAAAGTGTCTTATAGCCAAGATTCAACACATTAACTGTTATCAAAGTTTCAGAATGAATGTGTTTTTACATGATTGTTTCTTTATTATTGGCAGTGAAGAGTGTTGTGTGAGCCAACGGCAGCTATCGTCATCTTTTCACTTGTGTTGCCGCAGCATTCAGAGCTGCCGTGTATTCTGAAAATATGGTTTGAAATAAGGAAGTGAATTCAGTTCAGTTTGAACCTGAGGAGGAAACTGAAACACTTTGTCGTGCGCTGACTTTGTGGTCTGTGAGAACGAGAGAGACACCCTGAGGATCAGCAGCTTCTTTTACTGCGTCCGTTCGTCTTGTGAGAACAAGGGCAGCCGGGAGGTCAAATGGGCTGAAGCGAGGCTCTTTAAGCTTCAGTTTAAAAAAGAGATCCATGTGTCAGGATGAACAGCAGCAAGTCAGTCAACTCCACTGCAATAAGATTAGAGATCAAGAGGTATGAGTCTCTCCAGAGTGCAATCAACAGACTCTCCAAGCAGTTTGAAAGAGTGGAAAATCCACAGCTGCGCTCAGGTCTTAAAGTGTTCCTGCACAGCATTCAAGGTAAGCTCATCTTCGTTGTTTCTCGGGAAGAAAGCTACACGTTACCTGTATGCTAAGGTTTGTATCGACAGGTGCATGATCTAAGTCTCAGGGTGTTCACTTTAAATGATTTCTTGTCATCATTAACAGGAAATATCTTTTAGTTCACAGTGAGTTTTTCTCGTCATCCACATTATATTTGGTGTGTTGGGTAACATGATAGCGTAGGTGATAGATATGTGCTTCCTGTGTCAGTCAGTGTGTCTCATTCGGGGAAGTTGACGCGCATTTTCATTCTCATTTCACTCTGGGGACAAAAATCCACCTCCTGTCGTCCGGCCGTTTATTTATTATCTGTCAGCCTCTGGGCACGAGGAGACCAATGGCAACATCCCTCAGCAGCCATCGCCATGGCAGCAGGATGAAACCTGCTGTGCGGCCTACTTCCTGTCTGCCATTCTGCAACTGCCCTCAAAGCCACTTCCTTTTAGACAAACAGAGGCCTTTTACATGAGAAGCTGATCAGTTTGACATCATTTCCCCTTAATCTGTACTTCCCACCTTTTCTTGTTAATGTGACACAATGTGCTACTGTCGAGTTCTCTCTGCTCACATGCAACATTTTACTTTAAAAGATGCACATAGGATCCTTTGATTAAGAAAAAGCTGCAACCACAAAGTAAGAGCATGTTGTTATAAGTAAAAAAAAGTCATGCATTTAAAATTCTTCATAAGCAAAATGTACTTAAAATATAAAAATAAAAGTACTTTTAGTATTTTAAAACTAAGCTCATTTACTGGAGTACTGAACAATGTTAATGTACTTGTACTTTACTTGAATAATTCCATTACCGTTATACTTTCACTTACTTAGAGATATTTGCATTCATTGCTCAATAACAGTTATCTGAGGGTTGAAGTAACATTTCAGATTTTACGTAGAAATCGAAATAATAACATAACAAAATGTATACTTACATGTTAAAAAATAGTTATTGTTGTAGGCCTACTCTGCGTTTAAGGATACTGTTGATACTGTTTTCCCATTACCTAAGCAGAATTGTAAATGCAATATTTTTTGTACTTGTAGTTGAATATTTTTTTATACTGAATCATACTTCATCCACCTGATGAATCACAGCGAAACCAAACCTGAGCATAACAAATCATACACATAACTGGAAACACCAGTGCAGTTTTGTGTCATAATGCATCAATAGTGCTGTCACAACATTAGATTTTCACCAAAAATAATATATTATAAAGTCATTATAGTGATATCTAATGAAAACGTTATGCTTCCTGTCAAATCCATCTAACGTTTTTGTGCGTTTTTAACCGTTTCTGGCAGATTAATTACATTCAAAATATGATCGTGGAGTAAATCTATAACAATAACTTTCTAATGGATTATTAGCATTATTATATTAACATCATTATATCACAGTTACGTCAATACTCGTATATCGCAACACATATCATATTCACCAAATCATGTTTGTCTGTAAAGGAAAATCAATGATAGTAAAGTATTTCCCTTTTGTAATGTATCGTTGATGTTTAAAGCTGTAGAAATAAAGTAAAGGACACATACCTTGGGATTGTACCTGACTGCTTTACACTGTGGTCAGATTGGGTGGAATATAATAACCAGTTTACGTTTTGATTTAATCCGTCCATTCATTAGCTGTTTGTGTGTGAAATGAGGGTCAATCAGCCCCCGGGTGGATTTTGGTAAAGCTTTGAGGTCTTTTTAGGATCTGGCAGACCTTTACACGCTCCCAAAAGCACATCCTCTCTGTGTTAAAACATTCATCTGAATATTTTCTTTGTATAATTAGGCTGCTGGAGAGAGGATCAAAGTCAGTGTATCCTCCACGGGGGCCTGGATCTGTGAATGTAGGGTTCACTGGGGCTAAGAAACGATCCACCTCTCTTTTTCAGTGTTTTGGACTTAATAAGCGTGGGGGATGTGGTCGACTGACCGTGTGCCAGAGTAAAGGAAGGGGATGGAGATGAAGATGGAGAAAAGGGTTGAGGTGGAGCTAAATGAAGGCCTTTAAATGTGAATCTGACTGGTGGTGTTCACTGCAGCATGGCAGCAGAGCGAGGGGTGAAAGATAGAAAGGACAGCTTCCAGTGAAGGAGAAATGAAAAACCACCCAGCATGACCACTGCCCTTGGCCAGCGTCCATCTGACAGCACACGCTCATAGGTGTGTGTGTGTGCGTGTGTGTGCTTAGCCTGTATGCATGCACGTGAGTCTCTTCACTGAGAGTGTTTCTAAAAAGTATTTGACTGAAGACAACCTGATTGTCTGTGTTTCATACAGTATGTGGGTTTCTATTTCACAATAATTAGATTCACTGTGCAGCAGTGCAGGCTGCAGCAGCCCGACGTGCACTTTAACTCACCCAGTCCTCACGCTTCGATTTTTACACATGTATTACGTCACGCCGCCTTTTAGGATTTATACCTTTCTGAGGTTTTTAATCGTGACTCTATTTCAGTGGTGGAGGGTGCTGTCCTCTCTCAGGTCGTGTGTTTTCCCCTTGAGCCAAAGTCAGTGTGTTGTCAGGGGTCTTTTGTATTCAGAGGGAGTAGTTATTGCCCTCTCCCTGACTGTGAAGGGAGGGGGGGAGGGCGGGCCGAGCAGGTGGACAGTCAGATCGTGTATTATGGAGGGAGGCTGGCGCACTGTGGGGAAATGCATCCTCTGATTTCACATCAAGGATTTGTTTGTATCAGATAGCGATTAACATGAAATTACACCCGGCAGTAATGAGAGATGGATGTGTGTAATCACGTTTGCTGCAGTGATTCTGTTGTTGCATGCAGAATAACTGCAGCAGTTTTTCTTACTTCATAAATTCCTAACTCTTTGTTGAGAATGAGCCGAATATAAATGTGTTTATTGGAACTATTTCAATAATGCAGTCATTGTTTAAGTTTTTGAGTAAAAGGTCAAACATATTATGGTTTCAGCTTCTTAAAATGTGAGCATTTGTTGCTTTTTCTTGTCCTGTATTATAGAAACGTTGATTTCTAAATGTTAGTTGGACTAAATGTGAAATTCAATGACATCAATTTGGCCTCTTGTAAATTGTTAGGGACATTTTTCGGAACATTTCCTGATATGATGGACAAAATGATTAATTGAGAAAATAATATTGGAAGATGATTGCATGATGGAATATTTGGTTTTATTATAGTGTATGCACAAAGAGGTTGTAAATGAGTTACTGCATCTAAATCAAAAGGACACACAGATGTGTTCACCTACTTTAAATCGACATTTATCCTATAAGCTAGGATTAAATGGATGTCCTTTTTAATCACACAGAAATAGCAATATATCTGTTTAATATGTTTTTGCATTCTGTGGTCCAATTATTGATGTCCAATATGCTCTGTTTCATGCTGCGAGCCCAGAGCTTACTTCTGCTAATGAACACATTCCGTAGCAGGCAATAGACTACAGATCAATACACACACAGGAAATCTCTTTCACTCACATGTACCACACACACACACACACACACACACACACACACACACACACACACACACACACACACACACACACATGAAACATTCACAGAGAGTAACACAATTTTGATACAGAGATGCTGGGAGCGATTGCGTTACAGAATGGAGGAAGAGCAGGAGGAGGAGGAGGAGGAAGGATATGGAAGAGATGATGATTGTGCCACCAGAGCCAGGAAGATTGCAACACCTTAGCAACAAACAAGCCAAGCCTCCTATACTGAGGAGGAGCCACACAGAGCCACACACACACACACACACACACACACACACACACACACACACACACACTTGTACAGCAGACATACACAAGCAGACAGCTGAAGACAGATGGATAATCCTGATGAAACTGTTCTGGCAGCTGTATACATGGGAGAGAGAGCAGACACTTTGCAAACACACCCTGTTGTGTCCTTTTCCCTCCAAAAACATGCCTCCATCTTTCTTTCTTTTTTGTCCTTCCTTACCAACCCTGCCTGCTTTTCTCTCCACATTTCCTCCCGCGGTCCCCCCTCATTTAGCAGGTCTGTGCACTGCCGCTTTACCACCAGCCGTCACCCGCTGCCTCCCCCCTCCTCTCCGGCACGCATTCAGCAGGCAGGGAGAAATATGGAGGGGAGGGGATGATGGGTGTGGGGATGGGAGGGATGAGCAATAAAGAGCCTGCACATTCAGAGAGGCAGCAGAGAGAAAATAAATGAGGGAGAAGCAGGATCCTTCTGCATTGTATGGATTGCTTATTGGAACAAGGAGGGGCATGTAGAGGGAGGGACATCGGAGACCGGGGGAGAGAAACGCAGAGTGTGAGCTGTGTATGTGTGCGGGTGTGTGTGTGATTAGACTCGTTGAACCTGTGCGTCGGTGTCTCTATCGGCTCCTCCGTGTTGTCATGCTCCACGCCTGATGCCGCGCGCAGGACGCAGGCTGCCCGGTACGCGCCCGGTGATGGCCGGACGCGCCCTGACTCGGTCCTCCTGCTTCTCCACATATCCTCCCGGGCTTCTGCTGACTTCTCCTCCTGATCCCCTTCAGCCCTCGTCAATGTCCTTCCTTGCCGCTGAGTGGATGCTGCTGTCATCACACATGTGTGGCTCGCAGTGAGAGCCCATGATCTGGACTGGATTGCTCTTGGGTGCCATGCTGCTTTAGGGTGACACTGATTAATTTTTAAAGACTTTACCTTTTTTACAGCTGCTGGTGATCATATTTTTTGATGGCGTATGATGCGGGGAAGTTGTTATTCTGAATTGAATCCAGAAGAGGATTGCCTGAGCAACATGCAAGATGGGGGGTTCTGCACATGAAAATAAGGTCATGTAAATAATTATAATCTGGAATGAGTCACCATAATGAAGATTCATTTGCTTGAGTAGCTGCATACATATGCAGTGGATAGATTTTAATTGGGTGTTTTCTAGGAACAATAGAGCAGCTTGACAGTGTGCTGAAGGTTGTCAGGAATGGTGGATTTTCCTGAAATGAAATTTACAGTCAGAGAAGAAATCCGTGACTGAAATTCCAATCCGAAACAAAGAATTTCGGGATTTGGGGGATGTATGAAACCAAAAGCTGCTCTGCTGTCGTATCTTGAAAGGAGAAACTTAATCTCCCTCAATGTAAGTTTTTCGTTGTGCAGTCAGATTCTCTCAAGTCCCAACACGCTGGCAAACTGTCAGTCGTTGATGTCGCTCTGTCTGGTTTCATTCATCTACTGTGTGTCCACTGAAGCCTGAACACATGAGCGGAGGCGGCGCCCTGCAGCAACGCACCACCTACCTCATCTCCCTCACCCTGGTCAAGGTAGAGGCTGTGGAGGAGAATGGAGGGGAGGCCGACAACAGCAACCAGGGGAAGGAGGTGGTGGAGGCCGGGCCTGGAGGAAGGGAAGGAGAAGAGGACGGGGCCGGAGTGGAGGCTAAAGGTGAAGCACGGGCTGAGAATGGAGCTGGACAACCACCAAAAGCTGTAGATGATGTGAAAGATGACAAGTTATTGGATGAACTTAAAGATGGAGATAGAAAGCCCCTCAGCCCCCTGAAGGATAAACCTCCACCAACTGTGGACGTCCCAAGCAAAGGGAGTGAAAAGCCCCCGTGCAACCTCTCCATCCCCTTACCTCCGGAGAGGGCAACACTTCAGAAGACAACGTCTGCCGAGACAGACCTAACAAGAGTCCAGAAGACACCTTCAACTCCTGAGGCGAAGCAATGCAGGTCACCATCACTGACCCCAACGCCTCCAACAGAGATGGTGGAGCCAACTCGCACCCCGACCAGGACCAGCCTCCCCATCCGCCCGGTGGGGCAGCGTCCTGTGAGTCTTCTGAAGTCTCACAGCAACGTGGCCACCCGGGGTCGCGAGTTCAGGGACGGAAGAGAGCGAAGCCCTACCTCGGCGCAGAGCCTGGACAGAAAGGACTGCCGGATGCCCACGCGCTCTCCGGGCCCCTGCAGGGCCTCGTGGGCCGAGGCCAGCAGGCCCGACGCATGGAGGATGGACGAAGCTCAAGCAGGAATGCCTCTGGAGATCGGAGGTAGCATGGTTGCGGTGATGAGAGACCAACCCAGAAAGGACAGGCTAAAGACCGGGTCGGCGTCCCTACCTGGGCCTCCGAACCAGACCACCAAGCCGGGACGCAAAGGTAAAAGCCGCACGTTGGACAACAGCGACCTGAACAGCCTGTCTGAAGACCTGGGGTTAGCGAGGGAGAACCAGCAGGCCCAGCAGGGGCAGCGAGGCTCCGCTAAAGACAGGAAGATGCTCAAGTTCATCAGCGGGATCTTCACAAAGAGCAGCTCGGGGGCGGCGGGGTCTTCCTCCACAGCGCCGCCGGTCTACATACAGAGAGACTCCAGTGAGGAAGAAGGTAGGGGTCGCTAACGTAACATCAACTCTAGATCTTCACATCGACTATACAACAAACCATTATCAGACATGTCTTCTGTTCCTTTGCTAAACAGTCATCAGACATGTAGCCTCTTCATCTGTGCACAGGAATCCATTTGAAATGAGTGAGGGTGGGGTTAATGTTTTCATAAAGAACCCCCACACAGAATACATTTACAGGCTTAAGAGAAACATTATCATGAAGCCAAAACACGACAGATGACGTTCTTTGATGCGAGGGACTGACAATAGACACATCTTGGACAGTTTTAATCTAATTCCCCTCAGAGCGCGGGCAGATTTCACACCGCTGGAGGGGTAATCTCTGCACTCACACACACACACACACACACACACACACACACACACACACACACACACACACACACACACACACACACACACACACACACACTTAAGCAGCGTTCCCAGCATGGGTTTAAATCTCATAATGAAGCCAAAGGGGAGAGGAGCTGGTGGCGTATCAGGGATATATTGCAACGCTCCAGTTGATTTTTAGCCCCGGCTTTATTTTTGTAGAGAGGGAAAGACACATTTGTTCGCCCACATCAAAAGGGGAAGTGTTCATCCACAGCCTGAACATTTATAATCCTGTTTTTGATATTCCACCCACCACATGCTCTCCCGTCCTCTCAGTCATGTCTTTGTCTGGCCTCACATTTATATTCCACCATCATGTCAAATGCATGCATATGAAGAATCAGGAATCGTTTAGTTGCCATCTTTTTTTTTTACCCTGCATCGTACAACAACGCATCTCTTTCACAAATACGTTTGCTCAGAGAGAGACCAAGTGTCAGCCACTGTGTGCGTGTGTGTGTGTGGTGTGTGTGTGTGTGGGTGTTTTATGTATTCATTCACTCATTGTGCATTCACACTGTTACACATGCAAGTAGTGAGACTAGTCTGCACGCACACACACACACACACACACACACACACACACACACACACACACACACACACACACACACACACACACACACACACACACACACACACACACTCACTGAAGGCAGGAGGAAGTGTTGCCATGGCAACCGGCAGGACTGCTGCCTCTACTGCTGCTACAGAGGCTGCTAAAACCGAAGGATGGAGGAGGAGACATTTTCTGTGCATGTGTGTGTGCGTGTGACCGTGCATTGACACACACTGAGATGATTGTAAAACAATTCACCCCTATCAAATGTAAGTTAGAAAAATGGATAAAGGCTACAGGCGACATGTAGCATGGGAGGGGTTGCATAGTGCATCACATACGATTGGTTCGCTGCAGCGAGTGTGGATAATTAGCTTTCTGTATAAATAAGTGTGTGGAAGCAGCAGGGGGATAACCCTGTCCGACCACTTTGAGCTACAGCAGCAGGCCATAAAGAGAGCTTTGACTCAGAGAAAGATAGTCAACCTCTGTGTGTACGTGTGTGTGTGTGTGTGTGTGTGTGTGTGTGTGTGTGTGTGTGTGTGTGTGTGTGTGTGTGTGTGTGTGTGTGTGTGTGTGTGTGTTTGTTTGTGTGGTAGGGCTTGCCCTTTTTCCCAGTGAGATGCCTGCTGCGGCAGCTCGTATGTAAGCCCCTTTTAGTCTTCATCTGAAGCACATCATCACCGGCTGCATCTGCTCGGTGTTGGCCTGGACGCTTCGTAGATTTAGAGGCAGTTTAATCATTATCCGTCTTTGAAGGACATTTCACACAGTCACACCCAGCATGGCACGCAGTACAGTCTGCCAAACCTTCTGGTGTCCTCTGTTGTCTTTCTCTGTTTTACTGTGATTTGTCATTATGTTTTTTCTGTTATATTTGAACATGTTCCTCAGAGGATGAATACTACTGTTTACCCATGCCCTATTGTCTCTAGCACCGTCAGCAGGTCCAAATGTTCTTGTATCCAGTGATACATTTCACTATTTTATTGTGGAATTGACATTATATTTTCTACAGGCATTCATGGTTCTCAGATGTTGCCCAATATTTAGGTGTATTACTTAAATGCAGCAAAACAAGGCCTACTGACATTTCAATAACCCTCAAGGACTTTGTGTTTACTGTTGTGTTAGCTTTGTCTTGGGAGTCTTTGGAGCATTTTAGCCTGCTGATTTAAGCATTTAGCTCAATGCAGAATCTTGCCAACGTGGCTGTAGACTTACCGGTTATTAAGGTGCATAAACCTAGCTTAAACTATTCTGGTCTAATGCTACAGTTCTGCAATAAATCCTCCTTTCCTGAAGGTTAAAATGTTCAGCTTGTGTTGAAACTCTTTCTAGGTTGTGTTGCTGTCTAATGCTATTATTTTGAGAGATTCTTCTATTGTGCACCTTATTTATATCAATATGAGATTGCTAAGTATAGCATGTACAATTCAATGCAGCTAGACACGACACAACCTACAGTACGTCCTCTAAAATGCTTGCACGGTTGAGTCAACACGTCTCTAAAACAGATTCAACCAAAACTGAACATTGCAACCTTGGAAAGGGGATTAATTGTATTGTATGAGACTATTTGAATTTAATTAAATCTACCTTACGAACTGGCAGCTGAGTGTATGTTTGTTTCTGTCTATGAATTAGTGTTAGTGCCTCCTCAGGCTCTCTCCCTTTAATGTCGTCCGTCTCGCGCTGCAGCTGGGTGTCAGGGTGTGAGCGTCACATCACATTTGGGGGAAGGCCACCTCTCTTTAACCAGAGGGCAGCACAGCTGTGCGCAACCCAACCCCCTTGGACTGCTGTACTGTAGGATGTGCATGTGTGAGTGCAGAGCTGCAACCTGCCGGGTCGAGCAGTACGCATGTTTGGGCCAAAAGCTGCAGTTCATGGAGTGATCAGTGGAGGTTGGCTCCAAAAGAAGCGAAGGTCATAGAATCCTCTGTTTAAATACCCGTATTCACAGCAGAAAAACACGTTTACAGCGAGGTTCCAACTACGTTTTTTGTCTCTATAACTTAAATCCCCCTTCTTGACAACTGTACGGGGGTGGATATTACTCGCTCGTCTAAATTATATAACGGTTTATACATATTATTCTGGGCATGGTCGCTTTGAGGGACAGGGGGGTGCCTTCTCAGGTCGCTAGTTGCTGTCTGCGCTGCCCTCATGCTCTAGGCTGGGCTATCTGGTGATTGACAGGTCGCTAACTTTGTGTTGTGCGGTCTGTGACCTTTCCATGTTTTCATTCAACACTTTCTAAGATTGTGTTCAGTTGATGAAAGTTAAAAGTAACATTTTGGTTGCCTAAATAATGTCTTTGTCAGCTTCGTCAACCTCTCAAATAATCAGTGATTCCAGCATTGGCAACACGTGCCTACACTGCAAAGCATAAGAAGCTAAACAATCTGAGATGTTGCTAATAGTTTGGTGGGAAGTGTTATTTTCATATTCTGGTGTTTGTTTTTTTCCTTTTCCAGAAAACTGCCTACCCTATTTTGAAAAATGTTACTAATGATGAGATTGATTAGTAGACTCCAAATATTTTGATAATGAAATAACCTTTTTAGTCACTATTTTTCTAGCAACATTGGCAAACACCCTTTTGTTCCAGATTCTCTAATGGGAGAATTTGTGTTGTGTGTATTATATAATCGTAAACTGAATCCATCCATCAGACATTTGTGGATGTCACCTAGATCTCTAGAGGAATTGGTGATGGACATCTTTCCACTATTGTATGACATTTCAAGTCAAAGGTTAATCAATGGATGAAATGATGATTAGTTTCACCTCTAGGTCATTTTAGTTCAGAGGGGAGATGCTTTACGAATCCACACACAAGCCTTTAACTCTTTGAATGGCAGCCAGTGATCTCCATGCAGTTTCCCATCATTACGGCACACGGGGAGTAAAGTGGATAACGAAAAGTGTGACTGCAACTTGTAGGATCCCCGTCACGACTGAAAGGTTAAATTCATTAAGACGACCTGCTTGGCTGCACGTGTGTTTATGGCGAGTGGTCACGCAGCAGCTGTATGATTTATCGCTCTCCCACAGGCCGTTATGATGGCGGCCCTTTTTACTGTACATGATCAAAATGATGAATCTGTGTCTCTGCCTCGCTGACAGTTTGTCTCTGTCTCTCTGTCTCTCTGTAGTAAATATTGCCAACAGCCAGGAGTGGAGCTTGAGCAGATCCATCCCCGAGCTCAGACTGGTGAGTGACTGTATCTGCATCTGAAACTGAAGAAATGATTGAATTTATTAAGAGCTGTGCCATTTCTGAAAACAGCACACACTTGGACATGTAGGAGTTCTCAAATTGTGAAGATTGGTTAAACTTACTCCTTGATGCTCAAAATATACATTTAGGGTTAGTAATCAGGGCTATTTGATTACTTTTGGGTTAATATTAATCATAATAATTTTGTTATAAAGTAAATTATTACTGCTAACACATCAAATTAGTTTAATTTTGTTGATTTAGAGACAATTATATATACTTTATATACATGTGGATTGTTAAATCTGTTGCAATGAGTGTACAGTAACATTAGATTGTGAATCTCAATATTTAATATGATTCTGCCTATACTTTATTAATGTGCTTTTTAATTCATGCAAAATGTCAAATACAATACATTTAGTTGTAAAAAAGTATCATTATAATGTGATATTGCTCATTTAAAACTTCCTCCCCCACTGACTCTATGTTAAGATAAGAATGCAGAAAACATTAAAGCATTTTATAGCTGAAACTATAGATTTGTTGCCCGGCTAAAACTGACTGAAGCATATTGGATGGAGGTCTGACTGTAATATTATATTCAGCACACTGTGATCGAGCGGCTAGCTGACCGTGAATGAACTTCGCGGTGTTGTATTTCCTCTCCTCTTCTCTCAGGGCATTCTGGGAAGTCTAAAAAGCGGCAAGTCAGCGCTCGTGAATAAATACATCACAGGCAGTTATGTTGCACTGGAGAAGACTGAGGGTAAGAAATATTATACACGTCTTCTATAATGTCTGTCCGTCACTGTGGTGGCAAGTAACACATTCATTTCCAAGCTAAGTATTGTAGTAAAAATGTGAGTTACGTGTACTTATTGAAGTCTTTTTTTCTCATGGTACTTGATACTTACACTTCAAAACATTGAATATTGGGGGAGATACATTTGTCCCCCTCTCCAATTATCTGACCCATTGAGGCTTTTTTACACACAAAACATCTGAAAAGATACAAGCAGCTAAAATGACTAGTTCATTAACCAATTTATAGAATAGAACATTTGGACCATTGTTAATTATGACGCCATTTATTTGACTTTCTAATGTAAAGCACCTGAATACTTTTCCCAACTACTGGTCCTTTTAATAGTTTCCAATAGAGTTCAGTGCTAGTCAAAAACGATGTTTGGTCAAATGTAATCTTTTTTTTTCAGAGGTTATTACTTTGCATGTGCCTGTCATCCTCTGTTTGTCACTCTGCTGACTAACATATCCGTCACTACTCTTGTCAGGTGGCAGGTATAAGAAGGAAGTACTGGTGGACGGACAGAGTCATTTACTACTGATCCGAGAAGAAGCTGGACCTCCTGATGCACAGGTGTGTGTGTGTGTGAGAGAGAGAAACAGAGTTATTGTGCAATACTGTGGCTGTAACATCCTCCTCCCCCTCTTCCTCCCCCAGTTCAGCAGCTGGGTGGACGCAGTGATCCTGGTCTTCAGTCTGGAGAACGAGAGCAGCTTCCAGGAGCTCTACCAGCTCTTCAGCCAGCTGAGCAAACACCGCAGCGACGTCCCCGTGATAGTGGTCGGCACACAAGGTCAGCAGCGTAAAGAATCCTCAGAAACAAAATAATGACTTGGTTTCCCAAAACTATTACATTACATTTAGCTGACGCTGTTATCCAAAGCGACTTACAATAAGTGCAT